TTATCAACTTACCTGGAAAAATTTTGGCGCTCCCGCATGCGGGTACCACTCTTATTCGCGGGCGGGGTTTGAGCTCACTAATACCCACTTGGACGGGGAACATAACCCTAAGATTTCAGCTTTCTAGCTTCTCAGATCCAAAAGAAAATACAAATCACAAAAGCCGATGGTGCATGATATAACGAAATAAAACCGATTTTAACGAAACAGACAAAGCGCACTACAGCAGCGCATCCCGAATATTGATAGACTAGTTTATAATGCCTTCGTAGAAGAAACCACGGTGCAAGGCTGTTAATGGTACTTGCGAACTTCCCAACAAAATGAACATGAAAGAATTCTGGAGTGTGCTTCTCCATCGATGCAGTCAAAAACCGCTTAGAAATTCAGCTTTTTAGACTGATGCCCTGCTTTTGAGTTAAGAAATAAAGTTGACAATTTAGTCCAGAGTTTATTATGAGTATCAAACAGCATAGTCAAAATGCACAACGTACTATACATTATATACAGTTTCGTGGAAGTACCATGATAAAAAAAAAAAAAGAAATAGTAAAAACAAATAATGAACCTGAAAAGAACGTTTGCATCAATCCACTCACTGATTAACAAAAATAAATCGAACAACAAAATGAGGCATGAAATGACGGACTAATCCCTCACATAACGTCACAATGAATCGAGTTGATATTCGCAAAAGGATGAAAAATTTAGATAATCCCCTGGATTTGATTAGAAAATGACATAATTCGACAAGAGTTTAGCCCGAAAGAGTAGAAATAACTTATGTAGTTGTTCTAAATTAGTTCAAATCGTTATGCGGGCTAATAATCGAGCATTTGGGTCTCCAAAACGCGAGTAAACATACAAAAAAAACAACAATTTCAATCCATCACACAGAAGACACTTTAATATAGTACTATGATTCCACTCTGGCGTAAGATAGTGCATGCCAGAACGAAGAACTGGGCTGGTTATATGGCAAAAACGAGCTAACAGATAGACAAACCCGATTACTACACGCGCAATGTTAGAACAAAAGTTGCTTATGCTCATGGATCCATACAACTGCCTGTATAGAATTAAGCCAGTGAGGGAGGCTTGAGGTAAAGAATCGAGAAACGGCAACTGTATCAAAAACGAGACAAAACGCGACGATGAAACAACAGCTGATCAAAATATCACAAAAAAGTAAAAACACAAGCACTCACAAAGTAGCCGATACGGTCATGCGTTTTGCGCAGTCCCGCCCAGCGGACGCTTGCCTGCTAAAATTTGAATACTTTACACTTCCATGTATACAAAAATAATTGCTATCTTGTCTGACTCCTAAACTGGGAAATTTTCCACTAAAGATTTCGCGTACCGGAACGTGAAAGTTGAATCTGAAACATTGGATGGGGAAGATCCTCTCAAATTTCAACCTCTTAGTTTTCCAACTTCCAAAATGACCTTGGCGTACTTGAGAGCTAGGTCTGTGTTTGCCGCTGCATATGCAGAAAACATCTTCCTGAAGTTTCAACTTCACAGCTCTTCTGGCTTCCGAGATAATTCCCCTCCCCGTGCCCCTCTTTCACCAGAACCTTCACAGAGACATACAGGAGAGACCAAGGCGTATATGAAAGCTGAATATGAATTTGCGAGGTCACATGTGTGCAAAGGACATTTTCTCAAAATTCCAGCCTCCTATCTTTTATGGCTTCCGAAACAGCAATTTTTCCCACCGAATCTCTCACGGGGCCAAGAGGGCCAAGCTCAATTAAAGACCAAATTCGAATTTGCGAGGTCGGACGTGGACAGGGGGCGGTCCCGTTCAAATTCAGCTTCTTAGTTTTCGTGGTCCACGTGAAGAGGCAGTACACACCTGAAGAATGAATTTAAATTTCGGGATCGCACGTAAACAGCGGACATACCCCTAAATTTCAGCTTCCTAATTCCCATGGTTCCCAAAATAATAATTTTTCTCGCCGAAACTTCAACGAGGCAGTGCATGATACCCGCACGCACAGGAAGGCTAAATTTAAATTTCACGATGTCACACGCGGGCGGGGAACATTCAACTAAAATTTCAATCTTCTGGTTTTTGTGGCTCCCGAGTTGAAAGTGCGGGACAAAATTTCGGACACACACACATACACACACACGCACATGCAAACGCACACGCACACACACACATACACACACACGCTCATGCAAACGCACACGCACACACACAAATATATGCAGACAGAGGCGTGACAATATAAGTCTTGTGCTACTGTTACACAGAGTAAAACGCATAAAAAAGTTATCTATATGGTTATTTTTGCTTGTACAGGATGTATTGGAATGTCGATGGCTGCTTGTTTAATCGAAGATGGCGACTCTACCACTGGCACGCATGGCAAGCAGGCAGTATCGCTGGGCAGCTGCACTGTTTCCAAGCCCGACACTTGACACGCTTTCAAAACACATCCGAAACGCACTCGGGCCGAGTCAGACCAAACACTGTTTGACTGTACCAAGACACTACAGAGCAGCCGATAAGTGTGCGGTGCAATCTTTTTAAAATCACCGGCTCTTGGACGAAACAGATTCGAGCTTCGATCGGGATAATCCGTCTGCAAAAGCCTTCTTATTCAAGCACATCATAAATGAGACACGCAACTTACGACTTATTTATTTCGTTGCTTACATTCTCCAAATTGCTGAATCGCATGTCAGCAAACGCGCGATCTATACTTTCACTCATGAACTGTACACCAACCTGTATCCTGAACTGACAGATGTCATTGCTGCTGAAGTTATGCAACAAAATGTTCATCGAAACGCCGAGTGGTAGTCCAACTACAAAGCGCATGGGTTCGCTCGGTGTTTCGGGTGGTTCAACGATCTAAAAGAACACTCACACATATAATCCCAGTGCAGTTGAAAAGCCCAAGCTAATCCGAGGTTTAAGCTGCATTCCCTGCTACAGAAACACGCTCATCTCATCACAACATCAAAAGCTACCATTCTCACAACATACAAATCTCATACTTGATCGACAGTCGA